ATCCTTGATTATAGCAACTCTAGGTTTGAATTTGTTCTTCAGTTTCTCGAGCTTAAGAAATGCTGAACGAGTTCAGCCCTTTGGTTTTCCGACTCCAGCTCCTCGCAATGTCAAATATTATTATATATATTTTACTACACACATACAAAGCAATAAAAGGACAAAGGATAATGTTGTGGGTTCAGAAATACTGTTGTGGGTTCAATGCATCCCACCTCTAAAATATCTATCAGTTTGGCTGGGTCATATTCTTACTGCTTTGGTAATTATGTAATGATCTCCCAGATTGTGCTTTGGTATGATAAATCAATCCATTTTAAGAGGTAAGGGTGGGATACAATATTTTTAATCAGGTCACAGCCCTGATCCACTCTATGAGTAGCTTCTCTGGGGTATGCTCTACCTATGTCAACTTATATTATGAGAAATGGAAGGAGAGAGAAAGAGCAGAGATAGAGGTATCTAACCCATGAGAAAAGGACTGGGAGGTAGCACATCCTTTGGACCTTGGGTCCTTGTGCTAGGAACCTCCTAGACCCAGGGCAAGACAGATACACATAGGGATCTCCAAAGAATGCTGAGACCATAGATACTGAAAGAATATAAGGACCTTCCTTCTAAACTGTGCGTCAACAGACAGAGAAAGCTTTCCCTTACAACTGGGACACTAAATTTGGACTTCCAGGCTTCTAAACCATTTAACAAATAATTTTTTTTTAAAAAAAACTATTTTCTAAAAAAGAAATATTTGTTTGTTAAAGCTGTCTTGGAGGCAAGGATTCTGAAGCTTTGTCTGACATACTTTAGACAGGTTTCAAGGAAGGATTGGAGGGGGACCTCATGCTTGGGAGGGTAGAGGGACAGCACAAGAAAGGAAGACTCTTGATTAGATGGATCGATTCAGTGACTGGGGTAATGGGGGGGGGTAGGTGTGTCAGAGCAATAAGATTGGCACAGGATAGATCAGGGTCTAAGGCTTTTGTATATACGGTCACTATGAGCCGCAGGTGACTTGATGGCACATAACAAGAACAACAACAACAAAGCTGTCTTGTGCTATTTGTTAGGTTGTTGTTGTTTACAATAGAGTCAGAACTGACCCTTTAGAAGGTTATCAGAGGCAGTTAATCTCATGGAAGGAGACTGTTCATCCTTTCCCAGACAAGCAGCTGGTAGATATGGACAAGAGGCCTTTAGGATGGTAACCCAGTTTCTTACCTCTAGGCCATCAGAACTCCCTTTCTGTTAGCAGTACCAAATAACTAAAACAGGAAAAAGAGTTAAAATAGTGTGGTTGTCTCACCTACCATTCTATCCCTCAAATGAATGTCTAGCATAAGCTTGAGATTGACATGACCCTGCCCTTCTCTTTGAGCTTCAAGGAAAAAAAAAATGGTAATCTGCTCAAGCATTAGAGAACAAACACACACACAACTGGTTGCTTTGGACTTATCTTAAACTTTGTAATAATCAGCGGCAATTCTGACAAAACAGATTATTTATTTATTTATTTGTTTTTAGGATTTTTTGTTTGTTTTAATATAGGGAGCTTTGGTGGTCTAATGGTAAGAAACTGTGCTGCAATCCCAAA